ACATGATACTTTGAGACAATAGGAGGGAACTACACTAGTCTCACTAGCAACAATTACTAAGTGGTGAAAAGGTATGAAATACTATTTCTTATTCCAGTGTTTTGTTTAGAATGATAATACAGCATTTGTGCTGGTTAGTGCATCCAAACTTAACAAATCAATTCCTAGTCAAAGTACTCATCTGTGTACACAAGGAGGCTCAGCTCTGTGTCTGTATCTAATTAAAATATACATTTGGTGTGTACATACAACAGTTTATTCTTTAATTTTGTAAACTCTGATACCATGCTTTGTATGTTCCCTAAGACAGAAACAGCATAGGAGAAAATCTTTGGCTAGTGCATTTATCACTAGGAGGAAGGTATATATTATTGATACTTACACATATACATGAACTACTGTACAGCTCTTCTAGCCCTGTTGTTGGAAAATTTTACCATCAGAACTGTTGAAGTAATAATACTCAACCTTTAGATTTCATGCTGAGTTCAACTGGCTTATGGGCCCAGCTTCGTATGTAGAGATGTTACTCAGAGTCAGAAATTAACTTTGTAGGTAAGGGAAGTGAAGCACGCAGGATGATAGGGTTGAGCAGGACTCAATCTTGGGTATGCTGGTGTGGAGCATTCTCGTCTGTTCACTCTTCAGTGGCATGTTTCTAAACATCCTATTACAACACCAGTGATCTGAAAAGTCAGCAGTAAAACGATAATTGATTTGAATGGGAGAACGCCGCCAGTTGTGCTAAGTTAGACAAAAATTCCCTTTTCCAGTGAAGTGAAAATACAGAGTCTGTTTTGTGTTAGAGAAGTAGTTCCCACCTCTTGCTATGGGACTCAAGAAATACTTGTATTTTTTTCAGGCAGGTAGTGGTGAAGAAACCACACCATAATTTTAAAGTTTCATGTGATACATTGCTTTCAAAATTCTACAGCATCTGATTTCTCTTCAGAATCCCCAAAATGGCAGCAATATGTTAACTTTCTCAACAGGCATACAGGAAGAACGTAATACATCTTTCACACGAACACTTACTTTGGATGTTGGCATTACGAAGTGTCACCAGTCAAAATCAACATTCTAACTAATGACAGCATTGGAATTTTACTCGAATAATGTATCTCAAGTCAAGGGATAACAGTTCAGGAACTATGCTGAGTTGTTCAGTACCTTAATGGGTGACCTCACAATCTGGTATCAATAGATGAGTAACTTACTGCCACATGATCTTTTCATCTTAGTGGGAAAGCTTTCCTGTTTTAACATTGCTACAGTCACCATTAAGTTTTGGGTCACAAACAAAGTCTGAATTCAGCTGATGCTCAGCTTTTTGGAATTCTCCGGGACAAGGTAACGGTGTGTATTAACCGCATTATAGTAAATGATGGGAAACTAGTAGGAAGTTGTTCACACACCCCCCTTAATTTGGTGTTTTCAAAGACAGCTATAGGTGGAAAAGATTTTCGTATCACATTACATTTTCTATAAGTATGCTATGACACAGCTTATGAATATAGACTGATTTTTAAAGCATTCAGGCAAAATACTGAAAGTCAGTGCAGGAGACAGGCAAGAAGAGATTGCTGCGTTACTCTGCAGTTGGGCCTGGAGAAGCCTCTGTGGAAAACCAGATGGACTCAAACTATAAAAAAAATTAAAAAAAAAAAAAAAGGCAAGGAGCAGTAGCAAAGGATTTCAATCAAGTGAGATTACAAGTGCTTTGGAAGCTGCTTCTGTAGATTCCAAGTTGCCATCTCTTTTCAATCTCAATGTATCTTTACCCCACCCATGCACTGACATGACCCTTTATTCAACCTAGGCTTGGATCATATTTGTGCTTTCAGGAGAGGAATTGGTTTTTGCAGCTCCCTCTTATTCCTTTTGAGAAAAGGATTAAACACTGCCTCTGACCAAGCATACAGGCATGCTAAAGTGAAGCCACTTCATGCTCCTGGCCAAACAAAGAACAAAAATACCCACAATAAGCAAAAGCAGATGGCTTCAGTGGCAGGAAATGAATGAGCCAGACTGCAGGTAAAATGGTTCTCTGAACACACTGTGGAGCTTTGTAATGACAGGTTCTTTGTTATCTGGGGCCTCCCCACAGGAGGCCAGATGTCTTCTGTTCTGAAAGGAGATAGATAGAGATGCTCTTCCTTTTCCTCCCCCTTTAACTTATGGCTGTTTAAGTTACTGCTAATGGAAGTAGAAGCCTGTTTTTCCCCCTTGCTCTCTGATGTTTTTGGAAACAGAAGAGATAGTTAGTGAAAGGGTATTCTGATATGAAAGGGAAGGCCTAGAACTGGCCTTTACCTCCCCATGACCTTCATTTTAAAGAACAGGGAGGTCAGTGCCGCTAATTGCACTTGAAAGGATTAACCACTTGATCGCTTTCATTTGGTGGAACAAAATTATTCTCCAGTCTCAAAGCTGGAAAAACGTATCAGCAGTATCGAGACATTTTCAGTGTGAGGAGGAGGAGGACTTGGCTGGTTTGGCTGCTTATACCAACACTGAAATTTATAGAGGACTTAAACATTTTTACAGATGGGAAAGGAGAACTACATCTGCTGCTCAGAGCAGATCTGCAGCAGAAGTGACAATAACCTCCTTCCCGCCCTCGTAAAAGGTTATCAGAAGAATATCCACAGACCATAATTAATGACATATTAGATGTGCCTCTGTCACTTGCTGTAGGAATGACCCTTGCATTACTCTGCAGTTGCACTGGAAGAAAAAGAATCTGAACTCAATTCCGGGACACAGTGTTCCAGGTTTAAAATCTTTTCTGTGCATTGATTTCACCTGAGAATTAAGACTAATTTACTTTTGGAATACATTCTTAATTCCCATTGTTCAAATAAAGTGAGATACACAAAACTTAAATTTGGAAACTAGTTTCCAAAAGTAACAAAGAACAGCTTATATAAGCTTTTATCTGACCTCTGCTTCTTAAATAAAAAAACATGTTTTCAGGGAAATGTGTCTTGGAAGTAACTCCC